ATATATATATATATATATATATATATATATATATATATATATATATATATATATATATATATATATATATATATATATATATATATATAGGGGGTGGTTCAAGTGAGCATGCACCTTGTGGAGAGAAATGAGAATGAAATCTAGCCGTCAGATCTGATGCATCGTGCGACTCAGATTGCATCATGTGCTCAGAGTTTGAGATAGTGCATTTTCGAAGGTTACGGTGCATTTCGACATGAAGCATTTTCAAACCATTTTGGTGCATCTAATTTTGATGTAATCTTGACCTTTAGATCTCACAATCTAAAGCACCAGATTCATTATCATTTCTCTTCTAAGATTGCATTTTCACCAGGACCAATATATATATATATATATATATATATATATATATATACATATATACACACACACACATATACATACATTTATACATATATATATATATATATATATATATATAATGAAAAGAAATTTTATTAAAAGAAAAAGTAAAGAGGTACAAGGGAGGGGAGGCCGACCCCACAAACTGGCCAAAGAGAAAGGCAACTAGAAAAGAAAAACAAACAACCACCAAACAAAAACCGTGTCTGATACAATAATGCAGCGAAGAAATGCTAGATCCCTGTCTGGCGCAGTGGGTGGTTATCAGTACAACCCAACAAATGTCTTCTTCCTCTTGAAGTATACTTCACAGAAGTACCTCCTCTTCGTTGTTGCCTTCCCAGTAGCCAGGAAAACACATGTGATAGTGAGGGTGATAGTGAGGGAACCAACCATTTTCCCAATTTCCCTCTTAAATCAGAAGGAGTCATACCTAAAGCCTGGGGCATTCACCCTCTAAACCTCTGGCTCCAAAAACCTTTAGCCAGTGGCTACCAAAAGACACAATCTGGCAAAGACCAAACCAAGAAAAAAAGAGTTTCCTTAAAGAAGCCCTAATCTGAAAAACTGAAAATAAACACAATCAGAGCATAACATAGCTATCTGACTACCTCACCCTATTAAAACCCAAAAGGCCAAAACGAGAGGAAACTCTAACCCTAGAAAATCAGCAGTTTGAATTGAATCATATCACGTAAGATACTGTTGGGATTTTAAGCGCGTAAGATACCGAAAAATATTGAGAACACCAGAAAAATGAGAGGACAAATACAAGAAGAATATATGAGAGAAAAAAATTATATTTCCACTATTTCCGACAATATATAAAAAAACTCCCCCCTGTTTACAAGACTAAATTCCAGACACTCATAAACAGATCTTTTCACATCCTATGTCCGAATGTATTTTTCTGAGTAACTAAAACCAGTTACTCCCTACACTCACCCACACTCACCAAGACCCCTTGGATTTCCCCGGTGGTATTCTTGTGTAGAATTCCTCCCATATTTCTCTCTCTACCTTGGTGGTGTGTAGAACCCACACACACTCTCTCTTTAACACACCTAATTATATAGGGAGTATCCTGCAACAATTCTCCAACCAAGTACAAAATGACAATGCATGGCCCATCAACACCACATCTTCACATACATTATACATGCATGCATGATACCCGTACCTTTTTTTCTTTCTTTTTTGTCTTCTTCCTTATTTTTTTATTCTTTTGTTTTGATTATTAATCAATATCCCAACAAACTCCACCTTGATTAAATAATAATAAAAAACTTTGTAGCTCCACCTCACTTCTCCGGTGAGACGATGAGCGCTACTCCGAAAAGAAAAAAAAATATCCTTGGCGCCATCTCAGTGTGCTCCACCGAGATCACCGCTGCCAACCTCAAAGAAGAAAAAAATCCTTGTGGCTCCACCTTGGTCCATCTACCAAGATCACTACCACCTTGATAAAATTTTCATGACCTATCTTGCTCAATACCGCAAGCTTTCCGCCACCATGTGTTGAGTCATTGTCATGGCCTCACCTTGCTCAATACAACAAGGTCCTCACCATTTCCCGTTATTGCTGTACCCGTGGCTTCATCTCAACCAACCCGTCAAGATCACCGCCACAACCTTAGCTCCTTAGAGTTTTAACCTTCCACCCCGAGCTAAAAAAATGACAACTCACCTTTGTTAACACTCTCTGAGACTACCCCTCTAGCAATTAGCTTCTTTCGATCTATCCATCTTGCACCGCCGCAGCAACACCTGCGGAACACGCTGCCTGACCTCTTCTTGTCGGGAAGACTTTCGATACAAGACATAAACCGCAGCTTTTCACTCCGCTACACCACCGATCTCTTCAAGTCCTGTTCCCGCACCATACTTCACAAAGCCAACATGCCGCTTCGTACCGGGTCCTCATGCCATCCACTTTGTTCTTGAAGTCCCATGGTCGCCTTCTGGCCAAAACCGACCAGTCCCTGAGTTCTCAAAATTTCTCTTTTTACCGCTTACAAATCCCTCCTGCCCAGCGCAACCAAGCTCTGATACCAATTGTTGGGATTTTAAGCGCGTAAGATACCAAAAAAATATTGAGAACACCAGAAAAATGAGAGAACAAACACAAGAAGAATATATGAGAGAAAAAAAAATTATATTTCCACTATTTCAGGACAATATATAAAAAAACTCTCCCCTGTTTACAAGACTAAATTCCAGACACTCATAAACAGATCTTTTCACATCCTATGCCCGGATGTATTTTTCCGAGTAACTAAAACCAGTTACTCCCTACACTCACCCACACTCACCAAGACCCCTTGGATTTCCCCGGTGGTATTCTTGTGTAGAATTCCTCCCATATTTCTCTCTCTACCTTGGTGGTGTGTAAAACCCACACACTCTCTCTTTAACACACCTAATTATATATATAGGGAGTATCCTGCAACAATTCTCCAACGAAGTACAAAATGACAATGCATGGCCCATCAACACCACATCTTCACATACATTATACATGCATGCATGATACCCGTACCTTTTTTTTCTTTCTTTTTTGTCTTCTTCCTTATTTTTTTTATTCTTTTCTTTTGATTATTAATCAATATCCCAACACATACAAACAACCCTTGTTGTCTCTTCAAAGTGAAGTAAATTCCTTGGTCAGGTAACTTCCCTATTCATTCTTGATTACCACAAAGATGATTGAGAACTGCCTCCATGTCCTGTTTTGCATAAGCAAGGAAAACTGGGTATTTCGCACCCTGAAATGTTGCTGCATCTATGAACTCAAAACTCTTCATTGCTTCTCTAGTGACCCTAATAGCTTCCCCTGAGTAGCTGAGTACCTCACCCCTATTTAGAGCTATTATCAATCTTTTGTTTGCTATACATCTTCTAAAAAGGTTATAGTTGTCCCTGATGATTTGATCCATAATATTCTTACAGTCCTGGTCTATAGGAAGCTCTAAATCTGGAGTATGCTTTGAATTACGTTCCAGTTCTTTTTCCATAATAGAGTCAATAACTGACACATTTCCAGCTCCCATATGGTCTTGTTCCAGCTTCCCAATAGCCGGAAAAGAGCTGTAGCATCTCCATCCCTCATCCATTGTCTTGTTCCTTTCTCATCCCTCTTTGAGCCATTGACTTGCAATGGAGTGTATCACCCTCCAGTATGCCCAACTTCTGTTCAGTAATTTTCTGTAGTTTATCACGTTGGCATTTTGCAGCTTTATTGGTCCCTGATTTTTCTCCCAACAACTTTCTTTCTTCGGTGACTGCCATCCAGAGGAAGAAACGTACTGTCTCTGCGATTGTGTCCATACGCACTCTATATATATATATATATATATATATATATATATATATATATATATCCCTTGGAGTAAATATGTATATATATCCCTTGGACATATCCCTTGGAGTAAATTTTAGAGGAAAATTTGCCAAAATCATGGAGATTAGAAGGGAAGGTAAGAGACACATAATAATCCCATTTGGAAGAAAGAACGAGGGTTTAAACTTGTTTGTCAAGGCTCTGTCTAACTTCATTCACATTACCACTAAATCTTTCCCTACAACCAAACCCCCATTTATCTTGAATCCAGAACCAGTGCTGCAGGTAGACACTGTAGACACTGCTAGAGAGATTCACGATATCCTACCAATAGTTCCTCAAGAAGTGGACAGTTCGGCATTAGAGATGGAAGGGGAATTGGATATTGGATAATGCTGAAGTATCTAAGATTCCGCAAGCATTATTGGACAAGGCTAACACGTCTTATAAAGGTCATACAGAGGAGAAAAAAAATGATCTTAAGGATAGAGATTTTGATCCTTCGATCGAACAAACAAACACATCTGCAGTAAGTGAGACTCAGCTGGTGATATTCCAAGGGGAATCCTCACCTGAAATGCACTTTTTCTCATCCTATGCCTCACGTCTTCCACCCTTGTCAAAGAGTACACTTTCCCCTGCTGCCCCAGCATTCATACCAGCAATGAAAAACTCCTTTGCAGCACTTATTGCCCAAGAGGACATGGAGGAACAAAGTGAAAGCAAAGAAGATGATGATTCCTTATCAAAGATTCATGATGTTAGACAATAATACTAATAGTACTTCTTGTAGTATTGGTTATGGTAGTGTTTCATTATTAGTCAGCTTCCTAATCCTATTTGTGGTAGATGTTGTATGTTAGTTAGTTTCTATTCTCTATTCCTAGTTGTGTTAGGAGTCTCTCAGCTCCTATATATACTCTATCATGTACTTCATAATTCAATGAGCAATATTATTATTCCAATATTTCAATATGGTATCAAAGCCACCTCTCTTGGTGACCTAAAAAAAAAGTTCTTTGCTCCCACCGCCGCCGCCGGTAATTCCGGCGACGGCGGCTCCACCCTATTCACCTCTATTTTCTTGTCCTTCTTTATCCTCAAATCAACTTCTCCATTCAAATGAAAAAAAAGAAAAAAAATAACCCCTTTTGAAATCACGCAAAAAAAACTATCAAAGGAGGAACTTCTCTCTTGTCATCTACATGTTTCTTCAAAAAAAACTCCCCCAACTCCTCACAAACTCTCTTAGATCATCCTATCTTCTCAAAAAAAGAAAAAAAAATGATTGTTGTTTCTCTCCAATTCACCATATCAAAATCTCATACCCAAATTTTTTTTTCCATCACCAATTCTTAACCTACCTTTTCTCTCTTCTATAACGACGTGACCAGCCACCGGCGCATGTCGTCAGACTTCTCTCTTCCATTCTCAAAGTTTCCAGTTTCCAGCTAGTGTCCAAGCTTCCTCTTGCTTCAGCCAGAGTTCAGCTTGAGGGGGGATGTTAGACAATAATACTAATAGTACTTC